GGGGCGGCTTGTTTTACAACGTCGTTGCCAAGCGACGAAAACCCAACCCCGATGGCAAACACCGGGAGGGGCGGCTTGTTTTACAACGTCGTTGCCAAGCGACGAAAACCCAACCCCGATGGCAAACACCGGGGGGGACGGGGGGGGGTAGGTCAGATGGAGAGTGACAGTAGGTGTGCTATTCGGTCGAGGTGCTTCGGGTATGGAGACTTATGAGCATGGTCCTTTTTGTCGTCTTTGTTCCATGTGAAAGTTAGCGAATACAGCATGTCGCCTCATGTGCGTTATCGGGGACTTTAAACAGATCTTCACGAACATTGATGAAAAGGAGAGGAGAACATGGTTGTGTCGTGCGCTATGTAACCACCCACACGGACCTAAAGCAATCTGGGCGCAACGCAATGAATGCGGTCCCCGCACTATCGCACCGACAATCCCACACCAATTAGCGACTACCCCCCGCCTTCGGCAAAGTATCGGTGATCGGTCTTTCGGGAACAATGCTCCGTCCTCTCGAGGACGAGTAGTCCATGGTCTTAACAGCAAAGGCATGCAAAACAATAGGTCGCCCCGTTCGGTCTCCCTCTTCCCTCGCGATGTGGTACAGTGAACAGCTGGGCTTTTGTTTTGCAGTGAGGGAATCCTAGCCTGTCTGTTATCGCTTTGCTTGAAGATCGGTCAAGGCATTCAACGAAACACACGATGTTCGCGCCACTTCGGAGGAGTCACTTTCACTATCCCCCGTACTGCAATTCTCTGACTTTAGTCCGGTTTACTTGCTGTCATCTCGGGATGCATCCGCGTTGTTGTCCTCAACGATACCGTCGTCGCTTGGTCAGTGGCGGTCCGGATAGTGCGGTCGGTGCTTTTTGAAAGAACGAGACCACACACACGCAGTGAGACCGACGTTTTTTCATTGGTCAGCCGGTTAGCGCGGTCGGTGTCAACAATAAACAACACTCACGCACGTTTTGGACGCAACTAAGTGCTTCTCTCACCCTTGAGCTACGCAGTCATCCGTGTTGTACGTGACAGCTATCTGGATTTCTCCGGAGCCGTGGTTGCCGTCGTTGTCGATGGAGTCCTGGGTCGACGCCCCTAGCGATTGAAGAGGCCTCCAAAGTGTGACCCTGGTAGCTCCATACAAGCGCACCCAGAACCAACCGAAACGGAAGCGAAGGCGACCATGTTCAAGTTGACAACAGAGATGTACCTTCAAGGATGCAGGCTCAATCCGAGTGAGAAGTGCGAAGGAAATGGTACAAGGAAAAGAGTGAGTGATTTGGTGCAACACAATCACGCTGGCGCCAAGGAGCGTAACCACAAAGATGAGATGACTCAACAACGCCTTGGAATCGCCATTAGTAGGTGCTTGGGACCATCGGGGCGGCACGAGCAGTGGTTGATGGCTGAAACTACGAGATCGTGATAGGCATCGCTGATGGCAACTGGATTTTATCGACAGACGAAGGGGCCGCCGGAGCAAACCCTTATCGAAAAACAAACAAAATTGACAATTACGTACCACTTCGTACCCTAAAACAACAATGCAAACCGGAAAGTTCCCCAACGACGAGCTAGGAGGAACGATCTGCGACTACAGAGTGTATCACCGGTCCCGCATTATCACTACACTACATTGATCTTGCTGCAACACTCACTTTTCACCAGGCCGTAGTCTGACGTCGAGTACATCGATCGTTGTGATGGAATGGCAGCACTTCTCGCGCGGCTTCGTCGCCCTATTTATCGGGACAGGCGGTGAGGACAAGGGTTCACACGGAGGGAGTGGGCGAAAGGTTTGTGGGTTAGGTCTTGTAAATGTCACCCGCAAGCGTTCCTGTGTGGAAGCACAACTATTCAATAGCCCCAGGCTTCATTACACCACTATCACGAGTCGTCCATGTCAGCGCGAACCCATTCATCTACATACAACAACATATTCGCCTGATTGAGAGCGAAGTATCTGATTGAGAGCGAGAGCCAAAAAAATTGAAATTTCGGGTCCAGACGCCTCTTGCCATTTCTTGGCAAGTAGGGGACGGGCTATTCCAAGAAGCGGTGCAAATTGAAGGTCTCATCAGCAGCTTCGCGAGCATATGCGTGTCATCGTCATCGGATGCTGCAGCGAGGAGCTAGACAAGTTGCTAGATTTGCCCAGATTGGCTATTTCTGCTCAAACTGTTTCAGGGCGGTATCGCGTCGGGCGGTGGGCTCTGCTGTAGCTTCTGCTCCCCGCTGTAGCTCCACAACGAGAGACTCCCACAGGATGACCAGGGTAGCGGCTTGAAGCTACGGGCTAGCCCTTCAATTCAAGCTACACAGCAAGCTCCACCTCTCAGTGGTAGTCCGGCTACAGCGTATCGCGCAATCTCGCTCTCAATCAGATGCTACGCTCTCAATCAGGCGAATATGTTGTTATACATATATGTATGTAAACCTCAACTCGAACCTCAAACCGAACGTTCCAAAAACAAATGTGACATAGGGAATATGGCCTACTTGTCTCTTTGAGAAGATGGTCGGTGTCTCCGGCACCTACCTGGATTTTGGCGGACAAGATGATATGTTTCAACTGCATCGTCTTGACATCCGATATCGGTACCCTAACCAGAAACATCCTACGCCCCGGTGACAATGAACATTCCTCCGCAACAGCAACAACTGATGCTGTACGCAATTTTTCATCGGCGCGTCAACGGGACCTCTTCAGGCCCTACCCTGACGTCGTAGAGCTACGATCAGGCAGCGAGGTCGGGAGGCTGTTCATGTATGTACTGGTTGACGCTCGACGAAACGAAACGTCACCAGCAGCGTCTAGGAATACATCACGTAAGTATCCCTACGAAACTCATTCTCCGGCTGGTGTATTGAACTATCGGAGCGGCCAGGTCAGACAGACCACCCACTTTGGTGTACACGATTTTTTCGGTTAGGATGCGGAGGTGAAAGTGTCAAACGTGAGAAGACGCAGCACTGACTCATTTCGTAACCAAGATATTGATGTGCTCGCGTGCTGACCGTGAGGGAGAGACAAACGGCTATGATGCACAGTCGGGGAGCTCAGTAAATCACGCCGGGGTGCCCAGGTCGTCCAAACGTTTGTGGCACATCCTGTGTTCGGGTGTTCATTTTGGCTGATGCTGACGTAAGTCTGGTATCAGTTCTCGAACGAGCTTTGATTTTGCACTATATGTTGAGTTGATGCGTGCCCTCTCCGCAGACCAGACCGTGGGAATGAAAGAATGGTCACTGATGCCCATGTAGGCACAGCACCTCGATTGTGCAATCATGCACATAGCCACATTTCACGGACAAAACCAAGACTGTGCATGACCCTGTGTACGTTTAGTACGCACGTACGGTTGCAGCGCGGCGCACGCACTCAATGTTGTGCCGCGTTGGACCCTTTGGTACGAGAGTCTTGGCTCCGAGTACACCGGAGAGGTCCGAAGGAGAGACGATCGTTCCTCGCGGAAAAACAATCGCGTGCATGTTTTGTATCTACGGTGTACCAAACATTCCAACGGACACGTGGCACCTCTATCAATGTTCAGAATTTCATTAGTGTACGCATGAAATGAGTCAGCACGTAGCTCCTACAGCTCATGGTTTGGGTACTTGCACCTTGTACTTGCTGGAACCGTATTGGGGAGGAGGCGTTGTTCGTGTATTTGATACTCCCGGTGATTGATGTCGGAAATTTTGTCTGGAATGGACCTTCAGGCCCTGGGTGAAAACTACCCTTATCCTAACGTTGCCACCCGTGAGCGCAAGCGACTATGTTGTTGTTGTTGTTGACTTCACATTAAACCGTATGCCAGTTGCTAAATGCCAAAATCTAGCAAAGACTCTCAGCCCGTGGTCACGAAAGTGCTAGAGCCATCTGAGGATCTAAAGAACACGCACACGTAGCAAGAAAAAGGTGTACAAGAGCCCGAAGAGGTACTACTACACCTATATATAATCCCTGCAGCACCGTACGCGTGCCCAAAACTGAACTACACGTCCGTCTCACCGTTCGACTACAGCAACATCA